TGATGTAGTGGTAACTGGGGATGCTGTCGAACATCTGTGTGCAGATAGCTTCATTTTATAACGAACTTTGAATGGAATCAGAACATATTCGATAAAATTATTAAAGTAAAGCTTCCACGAAAAATAACTTTAGAAGTAGTTTCCCCTTGTAATTCAGAGTTGTCATATTTTAAACAGCGGTCTTCCGATATATAGCAGGAATGTTCCAATTGAGAAATCCGTGCCGTGTTTTTTTTTGAGCATTTTTATTAGTGTACTGTTTTCTTGCCATTGTCTCTTCAAACTTTTTTTTTAATTTTTTGACGACACTTTCTTCAGGGAAACATTTCACCTTTGATTAATTAATTTTTCGATTCCAATCGAAGACATTAAAGTAGAGTCTTACACAGTGGGACACATTTTCGAAGAAATAAAATATTGAAGGTAAAAAAATTTCACAATTTTATTTCATTGTAATCATTTATTGCCGTTTCCTTTTTTGTTATATCAATAATTTTCGGACATTAAGGTAGGTGGATTTCACAAATTATGAAGACATTGCTTGACTTCTTATGAAATATAAAAGTAACCACAGATTCACTGGATTACAGATAATAATAGCATGATGGTACTGCTTTAGCTTGAAGTTTAATTACTCATTGAATTGTGCTTCGAACTCCTGATAGTTTCCTGAATTTTAAAATTTTCAAAGTTAAAATTTCCAACTTGAGTCCTCACTTTTGTTGAGTACTGTATTCTGTGGTTGCAATTTTTGAGCTGTTCCTGTTAGAGGTATGACGTATAACCAGTTCTGACAGTAGGTGATTAATTTAAAATTTTAAACCTAGTTTTCAACTACTGGAGGAACAAACCTTGATCAAATGATTGTCACGAGCAAATTGGACTGCTTCATTGGATTGAATCATTTGTAATTCTGGAAAGCACGTAGTTGTCTTCGGAGTGCCTTTGAGGAACGCATTCTTACGGACTTCTTGCCACGTAAAAATCCCCGGTATGTTTATTGAATAAAATTCGTCGTTATCCACCACGAACACGAACCTGTACCTGTAAAAAAAAAGACGGATTAGTTTTATTTCGAAAGTTTTCTCTCTGGCCAAATATAGCACAACTCGTTTGTACTTGATGAGAAAATGCTTTTTTCAGACACGGAATTATTCAACGGAAGATAGGTCTAGTTATGCGAATGATATGTTCCAAAAAGTCAGAGCATCATATCCATGATGAACTCAAATTATTTTTATGATTAAAATCAAAAATGAAATTTCATTGCGGTATAATAGAACCACTGAAGCCACGAAAAAGAAAATACACATTGATTACGGTAATGAAATATGTGTTATGACCACAAAAGGATCAATTTTAAAGAATATCTGCTGCCTAGGAAAGCATATACTGTATTTGCATCGAATTGTAAAGATTTTTCACAAGTTTTTTTGCAAGCCACACTACTTCCAGGATATATTTGTTGTAAATGAGCTAAAGCTGTATACATACATATTCATTAAGCGTAAGGGTGGGGGTGGATTCAGCTTTTTGATTCATTCACATGTTCTTCGCCGAAGTCGGCAGTATGACATGAATAATATTTCGTCAATTTCTTGATATTCCTTTATAAAAATCGACCAGAGAAACCCACGAGAAAACACCAAAGGGCAATATCAAAAATTCGCTCATTTTACTCTCTGGAAGGAATAGTGAAGAAAAATCTTGAAATAACAATGTTTTTTCAAGCACTAAAATTGATCTCGACTTTCATAGTAAGCCGAGCAAATTTTCCTGTACAAAATTGAAGTTTTAATATTCGAATTTTTTATTTTATTTTAAATTCAACTGTGCAAGGGCCAGGGGATTCATCGCAAGAACAAACTTAATTTTGAATTGATCGAATTTTTTGACAACTTACTTTCCAATCGAATTCAGCACGCAAGTATTGAGGTTCAATTTTTCGAGATCAACCTGGACTTTGTGCATGTCTGATTCGGTTTTCGTCGCAGGGTAACCCAACCGAATCACACCCGTCGGATGGGATCTTCTTCCATACAGGTTTGACCGTTGGACAGTAAGAACTCCTTGCTTTTCATAATACCTTGCATACAGACGATAAATAATGTCGGCGCATTGGCAAATATTCTTTTTGCAACTGCATCAACGACCGACATTACTTGAGCAATTTTGAAACGTTTGGATGCTGAAAATCTCCAAGAATAGGAACGAAGAGATGTTCCGATCCCATTGCCTTTTGGATTTCTATCCACTCAGCAAAATTGATTGAGTTGTCTCGAAACGCTTGAAAGACATTCTTCATGCAAAGTGCAATTCCGCCTTCTTGCACTTTATGCACGGAATTCTCGGGCAGCTTCACTTTCACAAAATTTGTGACTTTCCCACGTTTCTGATTACGGTCAATCAAGGATACTGCCAAGTATTTTCTTTCCACTCTGCCGTTCCATTTAAAATCCAAAATATTTTTTACAAGAATCAATCACCAATATTTATTTTCATGGTCATACAAGATTTAGAATTGATCGGCCATTTGGCGGGTGAAGAGAAGAAGGAAGAAAATTCTGAACGCTTCTCAATTACCCTCATATATGCCAATTTTTCCAAGAGGAAATAGAAAAGCCTTAGTAAGAAATTTATTTAATTCCTACATTATATGCGTGTACAGTTTAGGATTGAATATTTCGAGTTTTTGGAAATGGAATGCTTCTTCAGTCTATGCAGCGATTTTTGTTGGTTTGAATTTGAACATTAGATTCTCCATTACCTTCAAAATTACAGCTGAAGTGAATTTTTAAATTATTTTTTTAATGATTTCATAATTTTCTAATATTCTTAGATATATATCGAAGAATTTAAAAAATACAATCTTGAGTTGTATACAATATTTTTAACATTCTTAAATATATCTAAGAATATCAAAAATATCTCGAAAAGCAGTTGTTCATCAAATGGTATTCTCATGGCGCGCTGCACATGTGATAAAAAAGGCATTTGATTTTTCAAGAAAAGATTTTTAAAATTACAAAAAAAATGATGAAATAAATCTTGTCAAATCCCACTCACCCCTCAGGCAACGGAAAGGTAAAAACTATCGGTGTTTCGGGAGAAACCATGATTGATACGAACGTCATGATGCTGGTCATGTTCGATTTTCCTGCAACTTTTCTCGACTTCGTGTCCCAGAAGACGGCTTGAACACCTATAGCTTCATTGAACTTTGTATAGAAGGGCTCATACCTTTTCGATGCAAAATGTTCCGCGTGGAATTCCGCCTTGAATTCGACTGAAGTGACGCATCTGACGACGGGCCCCGTTGGTTCTCTTTCGTCCAGATGACACGTTTTAATCAAGATCGTACAAACTTCTGTTTCGGAAACCTTTCGAAATGTAATCCGTTGAATCTCACTGAAAAGCATGAAAAAGCTTACCTTACACTTACCTGATACATTTTGTTGCTGATATGAATGTCATAAAGTGTTGGAAATTTCAGACTCGACCGAGAAGGTTTTCCAGAGGACTGACTCAAGTCAAAAACGGCATCTGGTATGTTTTCGTAAGATTCCAGCAAATGACGCACTGTTTCGGCCTGAATCACAAATTATTACTCTAAAATTCATGAAAGCAAAGCTCACTTGATTGTAAAGGCAAACTAACCTTATTTTCTGCGGGCATGCGCTGACCATAAATCTCTCCAAATCTCAGAAGGAAGGCCAATAAGACAGAAAATTTCCACATTTTGATTGACTTCAACGAATTCGAAAATGTTATACGCCTTTTTAGAGTATTAGGGTCTCATCGTCATTGGAAATTAAGTAAATACTGTATCTCATATTCCGAAGAGAGTGTACTGTACTTCAAACTCAACATCAATACTGCACATGAATACTCGTTTGCCTTCCATTTAAAAAAATTTCACTACACACATATCATTTGCTGGTCAAAATGTGAGAACACAGACTTTCCTTCGCCCAACACTGCTGAAAAAAATGCCAATCATCGAGATGCTCTGGAACATATGGTGTACCGAAAAAAAAACAGTTGACTGAAATACGAGTAATTCACTTTAGAACAGATGAAGCTGACGACTCGAAAACATTTCAGATAACGAAGTTCAAATTATTATTCGCTGGTACAAACAATTTTAGAGGAGTTACACGCTTCCACGCGAACCTCAGCATAATATCTCGAGCTCCCAGTCATCAGTTTGTACCTTTTCCTCCAAAGACAAAGTTTTAGAAAATGACTTTTGTCCATGACAAATGTTTTAGTAAATTGCTTTTGTCCATGATAAAAAGTTTTAGCAATAAATGACAGTTTGAAACTCTCTCCCATTAAAGGCTGCGCGAACTCCGCGGGAAACTGGTTTGGTATCACTTGTACGGTTCCTGCGCCCTTCCATCTTCATCTTGGAGGAAAAGGACAAAAAAAAAAGAAGAAGAGAAGACTCCAGTAATGTAGGACGGAGGAGGAAAAGGTCCAAAACCAAAGAAAGGTACGGACTGACTGGGAGCTGGAGATATAATGAGGTTTACGGAAGCGTGTTTGTGTGGTCAGACTGGTCACCATGGTCATGCAAGGAAGAAAACTATACCCTTGTAACAGAAGAAATCTTGAGAAATGCGTTCACGTCACCAAGCCTAGTCCTTATTCCTTACATGTTATCTGGATTCATGAATTCCATATTGCCGAAAAGTATGAGACACTACAGTACTTAGATTTGCATTCATGCAGTAACACTCGTAAGATGTAAATTTTCTAGAGCTTTGCCCGAATTTTTATGATTAAACCTGTTCATGGCAAGATGACCTCAACGCACGTAGTTTCCCGTGGAGAAAAGCAGTCCACTTCCCAGCCAAAAATTATTTGTCATCATCCAAGGAATATGCACAATATGACTCATGGCTTTCTTCAGCATGACCCTGGGACTATATGGAAACTGTACAAGTTTTCTGTCAAGTCCACGTGTCCTTAGTCATCGTATAGAGAAGCACGCTGTATTCTCCGAAAACTTAGCTATGCATCGTAATTTAAATTGGAAAAATAGGAATATAATTTTATCGCTCTTTTCTCGCGTGTCAACAAAGAACATGGATTTAAAAATAAATCAGCTTCCTATCAAATTCATTTTTCATGAATCTATATCCAACTCCTCTTACAAGCACATCAGTACAGTTATTCACGTAAAATGATTGAGACGATAATTTATTCAATTGTTCCTAAAGATCGCAATGCCAACAATGGACTCCAGTCATGCGAAGTACTGTATATTGTTATGCTAGTTTTCAGCAAATGAAAACAGGGCTTGTATTCCACTGATTTTTTTTACATCATACTTTGCACAAGAAACTACAATGTGTGAATTTTCTTTTTAAATATCGAACGTCGATCCTGCTTTTAGCGAATTTGCTCTCAGCAAACATACTCTCATCGTAGTCTCATGTTGACGAAATAAATTTTCGCTTTCTTGAGTGTGTTACAAGGATTTATCTTGTTTATAATGCTAGTTAGTGTTATTTTCTGTGTTTAAGAAAAAATGAGAATATTTTAAAGACCTTCTTTATTATACCTCAAGACATTCAAGCATATTATTATGACAGACAAAATAATGCGAAGATTAAAAATAAAAATGTCCCTTTTTAATGAGAAATAGCAAGATAAGCACTCAAAAACAACAAACCCGCTGTCTTCGCAATGCCAACGTGCCATCACCAAGAAAATTTTATTTACCACACAAAATATATAAAAATCCATGTAATTTTGAATTTTTAAGTATATTGTAACTGCAAGAGGGGGACAGGGCGTGGAACACGTTTTCCGTCACGAATAACTTCAATTCTCAGAAAAATATGGGCTGTACACCTCCCGCTTTGTATGAAAATTGTTATTTCTATGAAAATATCCAGTCCAACGGGTGTATGTATACGCTTGCCTAAATCCCACGAAGCCTCATGACGAAAGTCTTGCGGTTGTAAGTTTTTCAATTCGAAACCAAGAATTATCAAATGTTGTTTGACTGAACTGAGAAACTCAAAAAATGTATTTAACGCAACTTTTTGAAGGAATTTTACTTGCTGTTCCAGCTGCAGAGGAGGAAAAGTATCAGAACTGAACTCAATCGAGGTTGCGTTGTAAATAGGCGCAAAAAGTTGGCACAGTCTGCTGTTCAAAATCGCGACATGTTATAAACAGCAGCATTTCTACATAAAAAGAATGCGGTACATGAAGCATTTACATGTTTACAAATATAATTTTCCATCACGGATAAGTCAAGGTATAATTTATTAATCCCCTAGGTTTTCCCTCGACATCCACAGTGAATGAATATTTCCAATGCCGCGTCATATGTATTCGCGAGTTCAATATCGAAGCTCAAAGAATAAGCTGTAATAATTGCACTTCATTAACATGAAATATCCCGTACATGTACAGTATACATAAAATTTAAACCCCGACCTCAAAACAACTTCAGGTCATTCAGGAAATGTTCCATCCGGGATTTCACTACAGGCAAGTATTTCCATATGCTGTTCCTGATGGCAAGCGACTCGTATTTGGCACGGGTCAGGACGCAAGGAAAGAACAGGATGCCGAAATCTCCAGAAGTGCTCGTGCACTTGGACCTGTAGTGAAATGATTGCATCACGTTCCCGTTTATAATCCTCGTGGTGCAGGGTCGGTAGCTTCCGTCTTCCAGAAATAAGCAAGTCCTTCCTCCATGAAACTCCAACGTGATGACAGAGTTGAGGTCGTGGATGCATTTTCTTCGGTGAGGGAGTTCACCTCTGGAATCGGCATCTTCAGTCGCGTGGATGTGGCTCATGAAATATAAGTACTCCGGAATCCCGTCTAGTACCTAATGGGAACGACTCATTCAGTGATCAATCACCGCACTCATTTCACACCACAGATTTCATATAATAACTCCAATTATCTGTGCTAAAGGCTGGGAGTCTTGCCCCTGATTGATAGCCAAATATTGTAAATATTAAAAATTGCATGCCTCAAGGGAATTTCAAATCTGTTAAATTAAATCATTCAAGAAAATATTTAGACTAGTGTTCCCCAAGTACCCCAACCCATGGTCCGCGGCCCAGCCCCAGTCCTCCGAATTGTTTTCTCAGTCCACAGGAAAATTTTCTGCAGCGTATAATTTTTTCAAAAGTAACAATAAACTCTGTTATCTCTATCTGAAATTTCAGAAAGACAATGACAGTTACAATTAGGAATGGAAAAATAAAAGTTGGCTTTTCTCATACAGACGAATTTTCACCTGCTGAAATACGTTATTTTCATTTACTGATCTACCTTTCTTCCTTTTTAAAAACATTCCACTACAGCTGATTCATCAGTTCTTATTTAAAAAAAAGTATACACTTTTCAAAAATCTGTCTTTTGAGAAAAACTTTTCTGAGTCTGCAAAATCTTTTAAAACTTTGTCAGTCCGCAGAAAACTTTCCAGGAATTTGCTGGTTTGCAAAAACTTTTATAGAAATTTGCTGGTCAGTGGGCTCAAAAAGTTTAAGAGGATTAGAATGTTGAATGTAATGTATAGCATTAAATACTGCATTAATTTACAAATGTATTCAGAAGATTAACTCATAAACCTCCGGATGTAATAGCGCGGATATTTCTGCAAAACCTAGAATTTTAGTAGGCAGGGTAAGAACACTTGCTTGATAAATTTAAAAAGTATGAAGTGAGATATGCTCATTGAATGACATTTTGGGCAGAGTTCATCGGATGTCCATGTTATAATCGTACAAAGCAGTCCTATACATTAGGTTCCGCCATAGAAAAAAACAGATGGGTTTGGGATGCTGAAAGACAATTTTCAGCAATCACGCCTGAAAAGCAAACCTTGCTGAGTTTATGATCTCGTGCAAAATTGACGGCTTCATTCGTTCGAATCATTTGAAACTCCGGGAAACACGCTGACGTCGTTGGACTGGATTTCAGGAATGATTTCTGCTGAAGTTCTTGCCAAGTCGATAGTTCCGGGAGGTTTATCGAATAGAACTCGTCATCGTCGACCGGAAATATGAACTCATACCTGAAATGTGACGTCAGTGAGAGATCATGGCCAACAGTTTTTTTTTCAATACTGTCATTTCTGAACGTCGAAGGGAAATCAGAAACGTTGACAGGAATTTTCAACTACTATACGCGTTGTCTTTCAGTTAACACACATATGCAAGATAAAACATCATGTCAACTTTATGCAGATCCGCAAAGCTTTGTTTGGACAAAATAAAACTAACCAAACGATCCATTCCTAATTTGAAGTGCAGCTGAAATTTTAGTGGCCATTAGAAAAACTTCATGTTGGCAATAGATTAATAATTTGTGGTTCCTACAGAATAAGTCATAAAATAAAGTAAAATCTTTAACACTAATTGAAACTGTACGAGGCCAATTGAACAGCTCAGTAAAGCGTTCCATATGAATACATTCTTATTCATGAATGGCAAAATGAAGTATTCAGTATTACAGATTATGCTTGCAATGCAGTCAAACCTCTTACAGTCAAACTTCAAGAAACCAGAAAAAAAAATTCGAGTCAGGGAAACAAGCATGTGTTGGGGTAAAGAAAGAAGAGTTACAGACAATTGTAATTTTTGATATTCTGGGCATTAAACTGCTTCTTAAATGAGATGACAGGATGCTGAAGTTGGATGGCAAGTGTTTATTTGCTCAATCAGTCTTTCATTTCCTTCAGAAATGCATCAAATTACATTTTATTGCTTTTATCTTTCTTGTGTCGATAAAAAATCAGCGAATGGCCTCTAAGAAATTCAAGTCATGGATGTTTGAAGAGGAAAGATTTTGAGTTAAAGAGGCTTTTGATGCTTCTTTTTAGGAGTCAGGCAGGGAGTTCAAAAGAATTCAACATCTATAGCGGAAGTACTGTATTTGACTTAAAGGTAAGTTCGAGTTATTCTTCCTAGATTCAACTCCTCCTTGAATCTTCTGGTGCTGGCACCCC